ATAGCCCCAGGGTTACGATGTTCCAACCTACTCAGCCTTGATCACCAGCAAGAGTTTTCGAGCACCAGGAAAGTACCAACAATGAAGGGTTTTCACGTGTCGGGCCCTGGGAGGCGATACCCGTTCGAAACTGTTTCGACACCTGTTCTGGGTGCTCGAGATTATCTCTGGGATGTGGTCCTAAAGTTAGATGGGAACAACATACAGTGGATACCCATGCCAAGAAACACCCTGCTTGCCTCCAGGGCCTCCAGGGTGCCCTGGGTTTCATGGGTTCCGAGGGTTTTGCAGTGGAAGACGCAACGCTCCCACGCCAAAAGTCCATGGAGGTCCTGAGGTTCAGGCTTGGGTTTCTTGCGGAAGGTTTCTTGTGGACTGGCCTGCACTGCACGATGGAAGCAGCATAAGCACAATGTGTCGACATTGTTATGGGTGCTCGAGATTATTTCTGGGATGTAGTCCTTCAGTAAGACGAGGAGTGGGAGGAGGAGGGGGAGGAGGAGGAGGAGGAGGAGGAGAGGAAGAGGGGGAGAGTAGGGGAGGAGGAGGAATAGGAGAGGAGGAGGAGGAGGAGGAGGAGGAGGACGACGACGACGACGAGGAGGAGGGAGGAGGGAGGAGGAGGACGACGACGACGGGGGGAGGGAGGGAGAGGAGGAGGAGGAGGAGGGAGGAGGAGGAGGAGGGAGGAGGAGGAGGAGGAGGGAGGAGGAGGAGGAGGAGGAGGAGGAGGAGGAGGAGGAGGAGGAGGAGGAGGGAGGAGGAGAGAGGAGGAGGAGGAGGAGGAGGAGGAGGGAGGAGGAGGCCCCAGCGCGATTGAGCACAGTGGCCCCAGGGCCGAGCCGCGGGCCCCAGGGGGGGCCCGGAGGCGAGGAGCAGCGCCCGGGCCGAGCCCGCCGTGCCGTGCCGGAGGTCTGGGGCCGCGGCGCGCGGCCGGGCCACGGCGCGCGCCCCTCTGCACCGCGGGGGCGGTGCCCGAGGAGTCGGGTCCAGTTCCTTCCCCCCCCCTCCTTCCCAGGCCCCCCTCTCGCTCCTCCTCCTCCTCCTCCTCCTCCTCCTCCTCTCCTCCTCCTCCTCCTCCTCCCTCCTCCTCCTCCTCCTCCTCCTCCTCCTCCTCCTCCTCCTCCTCCTCCTCCTCCTCCTCCTCCTCCTCCTCCTCCTCCTCCTCCTCCTCCTCCTCTCGGAGGTGGACAGACCTACCCTGACACGTCGAGTAAGGAATGGGCCGTTTTCGGATCGCGAGAGGGCGCCGCGGCCGTCATTCTTGCGGGTTCAGGTCCGTCGGCTTTCGGTCCCAGGCCGTTTTCACTAAGGTGAGGTCTACTAAGGGAGGTCTGTCCACCGCCGAGCACCGCGGGCTCGCGCGGGGCGGCGCACCTCCCCCTTAGGGGGGGGAAGCCCGTGGCGATCCGATCGATCCGACTGGCTGTCGATTCGAGGTTCGACTCGATCCGAGATCGGTACCGACCTCGAGTCGGCATCAAGCCGCCGTCGATTCGATATCGATATCGATCCGATATCGATCCCGTATCGGCCCGACTTCGATATCGATTCGATGTCGATTCGATTCGATATCGCCTTTGAAAGGCTCGACCCGACTCGATCCCGATATTCCTACGATCCGATGCGGCCCGATGGTTGCGTGGCGCTGCTGTGCATCCCGGCGCAGTCGATCCGATTCGGTTCCGGCCCCGCGCCGATGCGGTCCGATCCGACTTCAGCGCCGCTCCGATCTCCCGATTCGATGTTGACTGATCCTGCCCAGGAGGGCCCCAAATGGCTCCAAGCTGGCCCCCAGAAGCCACAAGGGGACCCCAGGAGGATTCCAACACGGGCCCACAGGGCCCCAAGATGACCCAGAGACGTCCGCGGGAGAGCCCCACGACGGATAGCGATGGGGAGGAATGAGAGGAGGGAGGAGTTTTAATTCGGAGGAGAAGGAGGAGGAAGAGGAGGAGGAGGAACGAACGCTGCGAGCATTGATGCTTAGAGTCTGGAACGAACGAACGATCCGCCATCGCCGGGAGGGCCAGCGTCCCTGCAAGGGAGGCAGGCGCGCCTGTAGCACGCAGGCCTTCTACGAAGGCCATTGGAAGCGGCATTGGAGGATTAAAGCCTCGCTCAGCGCCACGCGCATTGTACAAAGTGCTGCTCGCTCTCTTGCTACGCGGACTCAAGAGTCCCAAAAGGCATGTTTTGCGTACGATACATCTTCCCATATACTGAACCGCCCGGGCCGGGAGCGAATTGGGCACCCGAATGTTATCTTTGATTGTTCTTCCCACCACTTGTGGTTCTTCCATTGTGTCATCCGTTTGGCCCACCAGTTAGCTGCAAACCTAGCGTAAGTCATGCGTCTTTTCTCGCAGAAGTCGTTGCCGACAATGCTTCCGTACCCTCTGTTTTCCCACGTCTCTTTCAGCTGCATAATCGTTTTTTTTTCTGATTTTGTTTGCGAGAATAATGCCGGCGACATTGTATCTCCATGCCGAACGCCAGAGAGAATATCGAAGTACAGTGTCGTCTTTTATACATGCTACGCGTGCGGATCATGTATTATGAATGCAGGGAGTTCGTATTAAACACAACGATGCGTTCATGCATACATTCACTCACGCATTAATCAGATATTAAAAAGCATGTATGCTTAAACATTATATGTATTAAAAACTGCCCTGTATGTGTTTCGTATGTTTGGATCTAGCTGGATGTACTCCCGCTGGTCCCGATACAGATCCTCGATTGCCCCAAACATGTGCGCGACGACGCCAGATTCTTGTAGACCGGCCAACACAGCTGCATGTATGATCTTGTCCAACGTTGTTCCACATCTCTATGGAACCAGCCCATACTGTTTCCCCCCGCTCAATGTTTTTCTCGCTGACCATGCGCATATAATGTACGAGATCACAACATCCATATCCTCTGCGAAACCCAACTTCCTCTCGTGTTCTGAGACTGTCCAAGATATGCCCCATTCGCCTCAAGAGTTCACTGCTGCACAATTTACTCAAAACTGGGATGATCGCGATCAGCCTGTAATTCTTTGGGAGAGTGGCTTCAGTTTTTGTAACAAGACAACGCGTTTTGAAGTACGCCACGATTCTGGGTCCCGAGACGCACCATTCAACAGGTCGACAAACGTGTCCGCGACGGCCTCTATCATGTCGTACCCACCCTCCTTCAACATTTCTGCCACCAGACCGTCTTCAGCGCAGGCGTTGTTTGGCTTCATCCGAGATCTGTTCCAAATCACGTCGCCTTTTAGCCCAGCTGCCGATCTATATGTGCTTGGTCTGGCTGCCCGGGGCTCCTTCAGCGAAGCATTATGTAAGGGCGTGTATAATCAAGCGAAAGCATTTGCTCTGTCTTCCCTTCTTGACTGTACTTGGCCGCTGGCATCTTGAATGCGAGCGATGCGACTTCCTTGTGTTGGCCGCCGTTGGAGCCCGGGCAACTTTTTGGCCGCTCCTTTGACGCTCAACTTGTCCAGCTGCCCGTTGTGTTTCTTCCGCATCTGGTTCCAGATGGCCTTGTTCAATCTGAGCGCCGTCTTGTTCCTCTCGTTTTTGGTGGAAGTGTTGTTTAGTTATTCCCAGAGTTGCTTAATTTTCTGATCCGTCTCCTCGTCCTTCTCTCTCCCTCTCGTTACTGCGCCGCTTTCGGAAGCAGCTTGCAAAAGCGCCTCCGCCACTGCTGTAACATCATTTGGGCTCTCGCGCAAAGCCTTCGATTTAGCCAGATGGTATGCCTCCTTGCCGGTAGTCATTTTCCACCTTCTTCCCGTTTTCGCCGATTTCCATCGTTCTGTCCCGTTACTCACAAATGTTGCCCATTTGGCCCTGTGGTCTGTCTTCTGCGTCAAATCCGGAATCACATCTGGATTCTACAATTCTGTTTTGAGGCGCCTATCTATCAATATGTAGTCGATCTGTCTCATGTTCCTTGTACTCCGAAATTTGTGCGTCCATTTGTCCTCCAGCCTGTTTGGAAGCCTACAATCTGGCGAACGTCAAAATGGGGGAAGAGAGGAGAAGGAGGATTGGAGGAGGATTGGAGGCTCGAGGATCGAGGATGAGGATTGAGGAGGAGGAGGAGGAGGAGGAGGAGGAGGAGGAGGGGGAAGAGGAGGAGGAGGAGGAGGAGAAGGAGGAGGACCAGTATAAACCCAAGAGCCGTCAACGATGTTGGAATATACCCCCCCTCCAAGCTCCCTCTTCGTAGGCCCCTACAACGGTTCATTTCCATTGAGGGATCTGCCTCGTTTGAAGACAACCGTTTGAAGACCCGGAAGCATGCCAAAACATTGTTCTCGGGATTCCAACGCCACGGATCGGCCTGATTGTTGCGTCTTGACGATCCTGGGTCGTGCCAGAACTCAATTTCGTGAGATTTCAACAATCAAAGTAATTGTGGCACCCGCAAAAGTCGGAATCATTCAACACCATGTCTGGTACGCTGATCATGGGAACCCGTGAAACTCTCAACTTGTTTACAACGAATGTGAGCGGCGCAGAGGCGAGAGCCACATTTTGAAAAGGAACCGCCCTCAATCCTTAAAACTTTGCAAATATTTGAAACGAATACGCGCTGCGCTAAGGCGAGAGCCACATCTTGAAAACGCGTTATCCTCAACCGTGAAACTCTTGCAAACGTTTAGAGAGAATGTGCGCGGCGCTGTGGCGAGAGCCACAGTGTGCAAACCACCCGCCCTCCATCTGTGAAGCTGTTGCAGATGTTTCAGCTTCAGAGTCGTACATGGTGAGGAAGTCTCAGTTGAACCGCCCGGCCCGCCTTCAAACCTGGCCTCGGGGTGCGACAGGGAGAAAGGATCTAGCAAAGGAATGGAGGAGGAGGAGGAGGAGGAGGAGGAGGGCGGAAAGGACCAGGAGGAGGAGGAGGAGGAGGAGGAGGAGGAGGAGGCAGGAGGAGGAGGAGGGAGGAGGAGGAGGAGGAGGATTGGAGGCTCGAGGATGGATCGAGGCGCGCCCTCCTCCCAGGCGGCCCTCTCGAGGGGGGCCCCACGGGGCGCGGGCCGCCGCCCGGCCGGGAGGGGCGGCGCGCGCGGGGGGGGGGGGGAGGGCGGCCGCTTCGCCGCCGATGGCCGGGGCAGGGGCCTGCGGGACAGAGGCCCCCCCCGCCACTGTCTTGCCGCCTCCTCCCTCCTCCTCCTCCCTCCTCTCCTCCTCCTCCTCCTCCTCTCCCTCCTCCTCCTCCTCCTCCTCCTCGCCACGTGGCGATCGGGGAAACCGTAAGCCTCGAGTTCTCGAGCAGTGGCGGAGCGTCCTGCTAGGCCTCCCAGTTGGGGTCCGAGCAGATGGGGTCGGAGGATCACGCCGTATCGTCGACGCATCGGCGATGCGGCTTGATGTGGAGCCCGATTTTCTCCACCGTGGCGTCGCCGATGCATCGCCGATGTCGCCGATGCATTGCCTCGGCGATGTCTCGCCGATGTATCGACGATGCGGATGCGGTGCGCTCTTCCGACCCCATCTATCCTGACCCCCTCTAGGAGGCCCCCCCCGCCACCTCGCGGCCACGTGACGATCGGAGAAACGTAAGCCTCGAGTTCTCGAGCAGTGGCGAAGCGTCCCGGCTTGCCCGAAGGCCCACCATGTAATGTTCTGAGAGCCTTCTGTGGCCTGCACGAAGGGTTGTCAGAGCATTTCAAATTATGGCTGGGGCCGTGTTCGTTTAACCAAAACTTCGGGCGCATGTTCCTAAGAACAGTATTTCTTTGGTTCTAAGAATATGCTGTGGTAAGAATGTAAGAATGACGGGACGGTCGGTCCCCCCAGGCACCGCGCGGCCACGCGACGTTCGGGCAAACCGCACGTGCGGGTCGTTGAATGTAGGTATTTTTGGATGCCCAGATCCCACTCTATGTTAGCCATGTTCTTGCTTCAAGAGTCGAGGGCTTGGCATCGCTCGGACGTGTGCATTTTTCCTTCGGCGAGGGCCATCGAGGAACATCCTTGACCATTTGGCGAAAAAAACACGCACGAAACCGAAAACAACACAGAAAATGGACGTCCGAGCGATGGCGAGAGGGGTGTTCCCTCCTCCCTCCTCTTCAGGGGGGCGGGCGGGCGCCCAATCTACTTCTAGCACACTCCTACTTCAAGCTTCTGCCCAGCCTCGAGTTCTCCGGACGTTGGTGTCCCCGCGCCTGTCGTCGAGTCCATCCTGCGTTCTGGCGGTCCAGTTGTCGCAAGATGTCTGGAGCGGGAGTTCGCATCAGATGTCAGATTGGGTCTCGTCATGTTCCTGACGGCCCCGTCAGGCCAAGCCGAGTCCCCCGAACCCGAACCTTACAGTCGACCCACATGGCAAGGATGGGCAGCCTTCCCAAAGGTACCCTTGCATCCTTGCCCCCTCGGCCCATCCTTGGCCACTTTCGCTGGCCAACCTCGCTCGAAACATGTGAACATGGGCCTCCAAGGCCCTTGCATCCTTACCGCGCATCCTTATGATACGGGCCGACTGGCGGTACTAGTATCTTCAGATTTGGGGCTCCGACCTTGGGAACCAGTCGATTCAGCGATGACAGGATGACGAAGTCAGCGACGTCCTGGTTGAGGATGTCCTTTCTGCCTGTCGGAGGCATACCTTTGCAAAGCAGCCGTGATATGCAGTGCGAATGTAGTCATCGTATGCCACATTGACACACAGACATGGCGCATCAACATACCATTGAGGAGCATCGCGTAGCATGGCATAGCTTGGCTCCGCGCATTAACTACCCCACGGCACAACATTACATAGCTTCTTATCATACGGCGTAGGGAAGCACAGCAGGGCGTAGCACATCGAATAATGGCATACCATTACGTAGCATAGCGTACCCTTGCACAGTGTATAATTGCGTCAATCAGTGCATCATTACACAACACTACGTGACGCTGAAACGCGCAGAACAGCGTTACGTATCGAAGCGTGCCTAGGTGCTGCATATCATAATGTGGCACGGCATTTCATTCAAGCGCACATCAAATGAGAGTATGATGTACACATATAGTCGTTTACAGATCGAAGACGCATACGGCCAACCGCCGCCGCTCCCTGCCTGTTGGAGTCGGCCGTGTGGCCGAGCGTTGTGGCAAGAGTTCTGCCAAGCTACAGGACCATGTGCTCCCCCAGCCGTCGTGGCAACCCTCCGGGGAACACGTGGGGGAGGATGGCAGGGAAGACCAGAAGCAGGAGGAACAAGAACGGGGCATCTTGGGAGCGCCTGGGGGCTTTTCTTGGGGCCTCCTGAGGCACGGAAGCCTGAGGCATCTTGGGGGCCTCCTTTGGCTTCTCGGGGGCCTCTTTGACAGTCTTAGGGCATTCCTGGCCCGTGGGAAGCCTTCTTGGGAGCCTCTCTGGGCCGATGTAGGGACCTCTCGGGGTGCTCCAGGATAATAATAATAATGATAATGACCCCGGGTCCCCCAGCAGGGCCCCGACCCACCGGCAAGATATCCGGGACCCGTTTTTGTTACCGCACTCCTGCGGCTCCGAAACAGGCCCCTGGGAGGCTCTGGATGGGCGCTGACGTGAGCGGATGTGCGCGAGACGCTTCAAAACGGTTTTGTATTGCTTACAGACGTACCATTAACCCCTTCTCCGATGCCCCACGCACGCTAGAAGGCCGCTTGGGGAGGCCTCGGGGGGGTGAACAACGTTCCATTCCGATGGGGAAATGTGCATTTTCACGCGATGCGATTTTTCTGCTTCCCGACGCTCCAAGACGGCTCAAGATGTCCGCAAGAATGCCTCCAGCCGGCCCAGAAGACCCCGCAAGAGAGCCCACGGGCGCCCCAAGGGGTCTCCAAGACCGGCCGCGAGGCGCCAAAGACGACCCAGGAGAGCCCCGAGACGGTTCCAAAGAGAGGGAGAGCACACGAACAAGTCGAACTTTCCGCCCAACGATTCTCAGGCTTACGCCACACCGCCGACCTCTTTGGTTTTTTGGTGGGACTTCCTGGGGTCCCTGGGGCACATTGGGGGCGTCTTGGAGCCGAAGGTTCGAAGTGTCCGTTCCAGATCTCCGTCCGGCTGACTGGGAGTCTCTCTGTCAGTCTTGGAGCTCTCTTGGTAGCCCTTTCGCCGTCCTGGAGCCCTCCTGGTGTCAAAAGGCGAACCTGCTGAAAATAGTTATTTTTCGCTCTTTGTGCTTGGGGTCTTTTGGAGAAGCCTCTTGGGGGCTTCTTGGGGGCCTCTTGGGGTCCCTAGGGGCCTCTTGGAGGCCTCTGGGGTGCCTCTTGGGGCCTCTTGGTGGCCTTTTGGGGGCGTCTGGACGCCTTTTTGGAGCCTCTTGTGGCCTCCTGGGAGCCTCTAGGGGCGGACGGCTGGAATGTTCGTTTCGTGGTCCCCCGTTAGGGCCCCTCTTGGGGCCGTCTTGGAGCCCTTTTGGGCCGTTTTGGGCGCCTCTTGTGCCGTGGTTGCGGCTTCTTGGGAGCCTACGGGGCCGTCTAAGGGCGGTCTTGGAGGCATTTTGGAAGGGCTTCCGTGCTGTGAAGGCGGAAAATCCGTATGTGCTAGAATTGCACGATTTCCGAAAGGAGGTTGAAGATTTGTGCCTCTTGGAGGCCTCCTGGGAGGCCTCTTGGAACGTCTTGGCGGCCTCTTGGGCCGTCTTCGGCCCAGGTTAGGCCTCTTGGAACGATCTTTCGGCCGATGTTATCCGTCTTGGAACGATCTTTCGGCGTCTCGGGGCCCTCTTGGACCGTCTTGGGGGTTGGGCAGCCCCAGAAGCTGTCGTGGACCTCCAAAAGGGGCCAGGGAAGGGCCGGACCCCCCTGGTGAGCTCTGGCCGGACGGCCCCCCCCCTCCAAATCGACGGACCAGGCTCCGGGGGGAGGGGTTTGGAGAGGGGGAAGCATCTCACACACCGATGATCCCCAAGGGGTCGGTGGATTCCCTCACGACTTCCCAAGAGGCCCCCGAGAGGCCCCCCAGAGGTTCCCGAGCCACGCGTCGCACGCTAGAAGACACGCTTGGAGAAGGCTCTGGGAGGGGAAGATCGTTAAATTCCCATTGTTTCAGACTATGCGACTTTTCTGCTTCCCGACGCTCCAACACAGCCCAAGATGCTTGCAATAATGCCTCCAGCCGGCCCAGAAGACCCCGCAAGAGAGCCCACGGGCGCCCCAAGGGGTCTCCAAGACGGGCCACGAGGCGCCCAAGACGATTCAGGAGAGCGCCACGACGTCCCCAAAGAGAGGGAGAACACACGAACAAAAAAACCTTCCGCCCCAAGATGCTTTCCCGAGCTCTCAAGACGCTTCCGAGAGGCCCCAAAGAGCTTTCCAAGTCGCGCCTCGCACGCTAGACGGCCGCTTGGGGAAGGCTCGGGGGGGGCGGGGGGGGGGGGGGAAATAGTTAAATTCTTATTGGAAAGCGTCGATTTGTAGGCTACGCGATGGTTCTGCTATCCGACGCTCCAAGACGGCCCCAGATGCTGCAAGACTGCCTCCAGACGGCCCAGAAGACCCCGCAAGAGAGCCCACGGGCGCCCCAAGGGGTCTCCAAGACGGATGATCCAGGAGAGCGTCGAGACGGCTCGAACAGAGGAAGGCCAGACGGACACTTCAGGCCATCAGCCCCAAGCTGCCTTCAAGAGCTCCCAAGAGGCCCCCTAGAGGCGCCCAAAAGAGCTCCAAGACGCACCAACAATCCCAAGACAGCCCCCGACGGGTGCAAAACATGGCCCCCCGGATGCGCTCGAAAAGCCTCACACGACATCCCAGCGAACGTCTCAGAGCCTCGCGACCTAGAACCAGGCAGAACGAGATCCGGCCCTCTTCGTCGTCCTCGTCGTCCTCGTCGCCACCGCTGCGAGCCAGCTCCCCGGCGTGCGCTTCACGGGCGCGCACTTGCGACAGCACCACGCTTCCCCCCAGCAGCGGCTCCCGCCATCTGCGCCGTTCGTTACAGTGACCCCTCAAAAACTACCGCCCGCGAGCGGTGCTCTTGAAGCAGCGCAGACCGCGGATGCCGACGGCTCGCCGTGGAACATTCTGGCGGCAAATGCCATGCTTGCTCTGGCGGATACATTCCTTATTTGATTTCTGAAAGAAAACAAAACAACAACAAACAAAAACACAAAAAAACGCTCCTGGGTTGCCCGCGCTTTGCCGGGCCCATGGCGCATGATCTGCGAGTTTGGCCCGATCGATGTTCCTATCGCAGCAGCGTGGACCGCCCTCGCTACAGACGGATCCTGCGGTCAGTCATTTTCATATTATCATGGCATTCAGGGGGCGTTTCCCGTGGGATCTGAAGCTCTCTCGACCGTTTCCACATTCCGATGTTGCCGACTTTCTGCCCATTTTCCCGAGGTTCGCCGAAACGCTCTTTCCATGCGGATCCCCCGTAGGATCTGTCGTTGGCCCCAACACCCCGTTTCTTTGACCTCTTATCCCTGTGGGCCATGATCACGATCCGTGTGCGAGGTGTGCCGAAGTAGGCGGGATGGCGGGGGGACCCTCAGCCAAGCTTGTCTGAGGTGCTCATGTGGAACTCCCTGAGGCGCACGATCCTTGTGACAATATAGATGTGTATATATATATATATATGTATAGATCATCCGATGCCGAACACTTTAGACTACAACTGGAGCTCGCTGTAACCTAAGCGAGCGCGAAGCGCGCGCGTGGTTCTAGTACATATATCTATACATGCATACATACATATATCCGTACATATGGTCATGCCATTGCCGTTCGTATGGGACCATCTGGATCCATGATTGGTTAATTGGCAAGCACTTGGCGCGCCCATGGGGCGTCATTGACGTCTCCATTGTACATGCGTTTGCATGCTCAGCGAGCGTTTGGCACTGCTCGCATTCGACGCGCATGTGGCGCGTCGATTGCTTCCCCGACTGGTAATCGAGTTGCTCCCTGGTTGCCAGAATCTACGACAACACGTGGGCTGCTCTCAGATTGTTCATGCACTGATTTGTACTAAACGAGAACCAAACCAGTAGGTTTCAGCACGCCAGACACCCCTGTGGCAAGACCACAGGGGACGGCGGAGCCTCTGACGGCGTCAAACGGGCCAGTGATGCCCCAAGACGGCGAACGAGGCCTCCGAGAAGCCCCCGAAGGCCCCCAAGAGGCCCCCACGAGGGCCCGAAGAGGCCGAAATCATTGGTTTGCTTTAGCTTGTTGAGCGATGTTGGTCGTCGCTTCTGTTCGGCCTCCCGACAGCTCACGAGGGCCCAAGAGGCCACCAAGATCGACCCAAGATGGCCCCAAAGGCCTCGAAAATGTCCTCATGACGGCCGAAGAAGCCTCCAAGATGGCCCCAGGAGGCCTGCCAAATCGCCCGAGATGGTCCAAGATGGCCTCCAAGGCGGCCGAAGAGCGTCCAAGACAGCTTCCAAAACGGCGCAAGAGGGCCCACGATGCTTCCAAGTCCGCCCCTGAGACGCCTCCACGTCGGCCCAAGAGGCCGTGAAGAGGTTCCCAGAAGTGCCCGCAGAAGCCAAACCCATGAATCCCATCAGCCCTCTGGGCGTAGGTGGTTTAGAGCGTTTCCTCTTCCACCCCTTCCTCTTCCCCTTCGGGGAGGCGTTCACCCCTCCCCCTTACCCCCTCCCCTGGACCTGGAGGGGGCGCTTCGCGAGGCCGTTTTGGAAGCCGCTTGGGCGCCTCTTGGGTCGTCTTGGTCCGCCGTGGAGGCTTATTGGGAGAACTTGGAGGCATCTTGGATGTTCTTGGGCGGTCTTGGCAGCCATCTTGGCTCTTGGGTCGTCTTGGAGACTAGATTGGGCGAACTTGGAGGCCTTCTTGGAACTGTCTTGGAAGCTTTTTGGGCCGTCATGAGATCAGCGTGGAGGACTTTGGACCATCCTGCCCTGATTTTTGGAGCCTCCCTGCCCCCTGCCCTTTGGAAGCGCCTATGTGGCCGACAGCTGGGCTAGAGCTCGGCCAGGCTATCGGGCCAGTTCTTCCCCGAGCCGGTTTGGAAAGCCTTCGGGGATCGCGTGTGGTAGCAAGAGGAGGAGGGTCAGGAGAGGTAGGAGGATGATTAGGATGAGGATGAGGATGAAGATGAGGATGAGGAAAATGGGAGAGGAGGAGGAGGAGGAGGAGGAGGAGGAGGAGGAGGAGGAGAAGGAGGATGAGTAGGAGGAGGAGTAGGAGGAGGAGTAGGAGGAGGGGTAGGAGGAGGAGACTTCTTGGGAACCTATCGGGAGGCCTCTCGGGGCCCTGCCCCCGGGAGGGTAGGTACCCCCTGGTTGTCAGGGGCCCCCTCCCCCGGGGGAGGAAGGTACCCCCTGGTTCTCGGGTACCGGAGGGGTTACTCCGCGGTTCTCGGGAGGCCTTCCCCTGGGTTTCCGGGGAGGGGGGCTTTAGGGGAGGGGGGGAGGATTTTTAGGGTGCCCTTTCCTGGTTTCCGTGAGGGGGGTGGTGCATTTCTCCAAGCCGAACGCACGCGAAACGCGCGTTATTTCACATTTGCATGTATAATTGTATCATGCCTCAGAGTCCCGAATAACCGCAGGGCGCAGAGTGACGTACTAGTATTGGCGGTGAGTTGAGCGATGGTTGATGGTATTAGTTTTCTCCTTGCGTTTCTCGTTCTGTCTCCAGTCAGTCTCTTTTGTGAAAATGTCTCTGGTAGCCCAGCGCAGTCCGATTGGCGATCCTCACTAATCGACAAATCATTGTTTGTGGGTTCGGTCAGTCGGTGGGTCGGTAGGAGAAGGGGGACGGTCACATTAGACACTGTCGTGGTCCCAAGGGTCGAACGAGCGTGTCATAAGTGCAGCATGCAAGAGTTGTCAGGGTGTCAATTCGCATATGGGTATCAATGATTGCCATGTCTGTCTCTGGCCGATGGCAAAATCATATCCTTATTGGCGGCATCATGCTTAACAATTGTCAAATCGTTCCATTCGCCACCTTCTGTTGATATGCTGAATCGCGTATTGTGCGCACATCAGAGATCAAGACGCAAGGCTTGCGCCCACGCTTGGTGCATGCAGTTCTCGAGTCGAGAGTGAATTTGCTCCCTTCGGGTTACCCGTCGGCCATTGAAGGTAGATATTGCTGGATTGGCAGCGCCTTCCAACTTCAATCATTGAGTGGTTGCCCCTTGTCCTTCCTCCTTGGGGGGCGGGCGGAGACCCAAACTACTTTGAGCGCCTTCTTTGCGTTACATCTTCGGGGGACCTCGCCTGTCCGCCTAATTGGTGTCTTTTCTTGTACCCGACGCGGGCTCGGTGCGGACGCGGTGTGGATCTGGCGTGGATTCGACGCGGATTCGACGCGGATCCGACACGGATCCGACGAGCCCGACATGGATTCGAGACCGATTCGGCGCGGATAGGGCCGCGACGGAACAGACCAGGTCCCCCGAGGATGCAGCATGACTTTCCTGCTTCGTGCGTCTACCCACTTCTTCCGACCGACTGGTGACTGCTGCTTGCGCTGTGTGTCTCGCCCCTTCGTGTTTGGGCCATGGCTCCGCTCATCGGCGGCCGTCCGCGATGCTCCGGGCACCCCGGGAGCGTGCTCGGCGATGCGCCGTTGCCGGGAGGCACCCCGAGGCTGGAGAATCGCCGAGGACCGACGAAGACATCCGAAGACCTCGGGACTCGAGATGGAAATCCCAGAGAGCCGATGCCGTGTTTGTTCACTACGGGGTCCCCGGAAGGGAAGGGTCGGCCCATGCCCCAGGACCAGAGTTTCCTCCCGAGTCGTTTTGTTGACGGTCCCGGGGCCCGGCGAGGGCCCCCAGAGGCCGACAACGGCGACAAACTTGAGTCTTGATTTTTGCTAATACCTGGCATCGCTCGGACGTGTGCATTTTTCTCTCGGCGAGGACCATTGAGGAGCATCCTTGATCATTCGGCGAAAAAACCACGCACGAAACCGAAAAAAGCACAGGGAATGGACGTCCGAGCGATGGCCAGAATACGCTGGATGTCTGGGATTCCCGGATTCCCCCCCCCCTTCGCCCTGCATCGTTCGCCCTGCATTACGTGTCAGCCTGGCGGCGTGCCTACTGCACAGAGCAAGGAAGCCGGCGGCATGGAGCTCCTATCCTCCTGCTGTTTCTATTTCTCTTCTCTCTCTCTCTCCTCCTCCTCCTCCTCCTCCTCCTCCTCCTCCTCCTCCTCCTCCTCCTCCTCCTCCTCCTCCTCCTCCTCCTCCTCCTCCTCCTCCTTACCTCGCCCTTGCCCTGCAGCGCTCGTCGCCCGCCCTCTCGCCCCGAGCGGGCCTGTGCCGCGAGGCGGAGCGCCCCGCGGCCCGATGTCCGAGCAGGGCCTCGGGCGCAGCCGGTCGCCGAGGGACAGGCCGCGCTCCGGGAGGGGCCGCCTGGGGCGAGATCGGGACAAAAAATCGGATCGGGATAAAAATCTCTGAGAATGGGCGGGTTTGGAGGATGTATGGGGCGCCGCGGCCGCTCCAGAGCGTTCCGGAACGCTCTGAGAGCGCTCCGGAGCGCTCTGGAGCGATTTATCCCGATGCTAGCCCTGTTTTAGAGCAAGGACTTAGGTCTCCTGGACGGGGTCGGAGTCGATGGGGTCGGAGGATCGCTCTGCATCGCCGATGCATCGGCAATGCGGCTCGATAGCGAGCCCGATGTTCTCCATGTCCACACCGACGTCGCAGCTGCATCGCCGACGTCGCCGATGCACCGCCGATGCATCCTGGATGCATCGGCGATGCGGTCGCCGAGGGACAGGCCGCGCTGGGAGTGGCCGCTTGGGCGAACTCGGGAGAGCAAGGAGAAGGGGCTCAGAGGAGGAAAAGGTACCCATACCGCTAGCCTTCGCCCGTTTTCCCCTTTTTTTGGCCTCCTCGGAGGCCCTCGTCGCCACCGCTGGATTCGCGACGAATTCCCGGTCAGAACGCATCCCGGGAGGGGTCCTAGGAGTAGCGGTGTCGGCGCTTTTTGGTTTCGTGGTACCCAGCAGGCGCTTGGGCGAAATCGGGGGAGCACACAGAATTTACCAGTTTGAAACATATCCCTATCCCTATGTTTGACATCACCTCACCTCGATGCCAATCTTGAGGATTCCCTCAGTTTCTGAGGGCCTGTCCCTAAGATTGTCCTCGCTTTTTGCTCGCCCATCTTAGGGATAGGGATACGTTGGAGGCTGGTTCAGAACCCTGAGATCCTGGCGCCTCGATGTTTTCGAGCCGGGCGTTTGCGTCTTTTTCCTCCGGCCCCGGGGACGCACAGATCGATGCGCCTCGAGACAGGACGCAGAGAGATTGGGTCCTGGGCTCCGGGCGCGGTGGTTCACGGAGTCTCTGTGTTTGTTTGAGACTGTGAGCTGGCCCGGCCGGCTCGTGCTGCGCCCAGCAGCCAATTAGGCTTGCCCGTCGGCCCGGACTCCCTGTTCGCCGCCTGCGCTCTTCGCTGGTGGCCGCGACCAAAAAAGGTTTGTTCGAGGCGTCGGATCTCCGGGGAGGGGCGGGCCCAGACCCCCTCGCGCCGCGGGAAGCTGTCACGGCGGGCGATGCTTCCATGCTACGTTCGGCCTCCGCGGGGGCCCCCGCCGGGCCCCGGAGCCGCAACCAGAACGGCTCGGGATCCCAAGGAAGCCGGTCCCGAGGAAGGGGTCGAGACCTCTGCCGGGGGTGGACAGAAACCCCACCAGTGACACGTCGATTAGGGAATTGTCCGTTTTCGATGTTCGAGAGGGCGCCGTGGCCGTTATTTTCCAGGCTTCCGCCCGCCAGGTTTGGGCCTCAGGTCGTTTTCACCAGACCACGTTTTGCTAAAGGGAGGTCTGTGCGTCCCCGACTCTGGGGGTCGGCGTGGTGAGCAATGCCTTGCGTCGGGGGTCTGGGGCAGCAGGGAGGGGGGGCGGGGGCGGGACGGCAGAGGGCGGGGGGGGGGGGGGGGGGGCGCACCCGAGAGGCCGGCAGGACCCGGGAAGGGGCAGCACGGCACAGGCACAAGCAGAAGCTGTTCCTGAGAGCAGTGGAAGTGGGGAGTAAGATGAAGTCGGACATGCCCCTCTTCAGGAGCGAAAGAAGGACGTACATGTACATGAATCCACGCTGGTTTCGAGAGTTCGCATTGCGCGAATGTTCGTATCGCGCGGCAGGTCTCGCGGGTCAAGGGGCCGTGTTCATGTACATAGCTGGGCGCGTACGTCCTCTGTGTGTTCCCTACCTCTACAGGAGGTGTTCAAAAATAGTGGGAGGGACGATGTTTCTGCTATGTTTGACTACGTTTGAGCATGTTGTAAGTGTTCGTTTCAAATATGTCGTCCCAAAGCCCCCCGTAGGAGGACACGCCTGACCTACGGGTAGAAGCTGCTGTTCCTGGGAGCAGTGGAAGTGGGGAGCAAGTGAGGAAGCAAGGAACGACGGCGCATCGACAGAGAAGGTGCCGCGCAGATGTGCACGTTCAAATTGGCGAGGAACGAGGCACATCGATCGGCTGCGATTCTCTGCCACCAGTGCTGCTTTGATACCGCGGGACGTCAAGCAGAAAAGCGATGCTACATCCGTGGCGGATGTTGAACTGTGTGCGTATTGCGTAATTGGCCGCTGAGTTGTCCCACGCGGCGTGGCCACATGTTGGGAGGGGGAGGGGAAAAGTGTAAAAGATCCCGGGAATCTTGGGATTCGTACCTACTTCATTGTGTCCCCCTGGGTGGGCCTTTTAAAATTCGACTCCCTCTGGCGGTGGCCGTGCAGAAGTTCCCGCCCCGCGCCCCTGGCCGCGCGGTGCGGGAGACGAGCGGGGCTGGCATGAAGGTCTAGGTCTCCCAGATGGGGTCGGAGGACCGCGCCGCATCGCCGATGCATCGGCGATGCGGCTCGATGTGGGGCCCAATTTTCTCCACGCCGGCGTCGCGGATGTACCGCCGACGTCGCCAGTGCATGGCCGGTGCATTGGCGGGCCCTCCGCTTGGGGAAGCGTAAGATTCGAGTACGCCGGAACTCGGGCTTGCCGACGTCTTTTGACGAGCGCGTGCTGGATTTTGACGGGCCAGTTTTCGTGGGAAGTTTGCAGCGGGGGCTCGCGTCAAATTTCTGACTAGGTCTCGTCAGGTTTATGATGGCCCCGTCAGGCCAACACTAGGGGAACGAAGAATAACGTAAACATAAAACCTTGAGGGCCGCGCGGATTTCTCGGATCGGCGCTGGGCCCTCCTCCCTGGCGGATCCGAGAAATCCGCGCGGTTTATGTCATTATTCGTCTCCCCAAGCACGAGTCCCCCCGAACCCGAGTCTTCCGTCTCCCCGATCCGTGCGCGGGGTGGGTCCAGAATCTATGTTAGCCACGAACAATGTTCCGGACGTTCCGGACATGCTCCGGACAAAAAGTTGTTCCGGACAATCTGTTCCGGACATTTGTTCCGGACAATTGTAGGAATTGACGCCTTGGGGGCCGCGCGAGCGCTCTCGGCCTGGAGCCACCATGGGAGTCTGTCGCGGCCCAGAAACGTACGATTCGGGGCCCGCCGGCTCCGCATCATAGTCCAGAATCGCGCGCGCACGCGGCTCCTGCCCATGGGCAGTGCACAGCATCGCCGGGCTCGGAAGTGGGAGCCCCCGGCCGATAAAGGGATCGAGAAGGGGCGAGTGTGCGGGGATGGCGAGGGAGGAGGAGGAGGAGGAGGAGGGGGAGGAGGTGGAATCGGAGGAGGAGGAGGAGGAGGAGGAGGAGGAGGTGTGCAAGAAGCCAATATTTTTCCCAAGAGCCAGTGATCAAACTCACCAGGCTCCCTAGTTTGGTCGACCCCCCAGGGCCGACCGGCCCTGGGGGGGAGGCTGCGATAGAGGATCCCTGCAGCCGTCAGTCAGGAACCAGGAACCAGTAACTGAACCTGAGTCTGCGCCCGAAGGAACAAGCAGCCGCACGCCGAGTCATCGTCAGCAGCTCGAAATCCCTGGCTCGCGACCGTGAGGAAGCGAAGATCACCGACATGTTTTCCCCCGGCACAAGGGCTCGGCCATCGTGGCCAGCGCGAGAACTGCCACGCGCCCCACGGCCTCGATCAGCGCTCGACCTTCGAAATGGAGGATCCCCTTCCTCAAAGGCCCACCGATTGACGCAGCGCAACCGAGGTTGAAAGAATCCAGACTAGACCCTGGGGCAGGTCCCTGAGGGGAGAGTGGGGATGGAAGAGGAAAGTCCTTGAACCACCTGCACCCAGAGGGCTGGGGGGGGATTCCTGCTCGACTGGGCCCAGGACCTCCCCTCGACGTACCACTTGCAATTGCGTGCGACTTGGGGAATTCCATTACGTGCACAAGACACGGCTGCAGAATGCTACGAAGATTGTGACGAAGAGAAACACACTTTGACACAGCACGGTGTGGAGGGGCATTGATTGGAGATGCATCATGCCGTAGTGGATCGAATCACACGTGTGCAATCATGACCTAGACCTAAGCAGTGTTTGCATTGAGGGAATCTTAGTGCCTATTCCAAATCATTGGCTAGGTCCCCTGGGTCTACGCCTAGTGGCACCACACTGATTGCACCCCATGGAGTGCACTACAAAGAGTCCACATATATTGAACGATAAAGATTCCACCCGATCGATAGCACATCGAGAGACCAGGTACCCGTGGCTTTGGGTCCACGCTGGCAAACATGCTTGCGTATCCCAAGTGCTCGAATCAAGAGTACTTCGCTGATGCTCAGATGATGTCTCTACGTGTGCCGATGCCAGCTAATACTAACGCGGCATACGGCAGCAGCTGCTTTCCGCACGGAGGGCATATCTAGAATTGGTTGGTATTCATGTTGATATTCAGTTGCTTGTGGCAATTCCGCAACCGCCCCAGCGCAGCATTCTGGGTGGCAACTATTCGAAAAGGCAAGGGTGCCAGCTGGGGGCCTCTTGGGACGACTAGCGGAGCATGTGATGTGGAGGAGGAAAACCGTCACATGTGACACCTTTTCTCTTCGCTTCTTGCGGAGTGCTCATACCCTCTCGTGGACTGCCTGGGCGTGATGATCGCGATGATGCTAGTGATGGTGATGGATGATTTTGGTGGTAGTGAGGATGATGATGAAGATGATAATGATGCTGTTGCTGATGGCGATGATGAGATGACGATGATAACAATAGTAATAATGATAATGATACTGATAATGAGGAGGAGGAGGAGGAGGAGGAGGAGGAGGAGGAGCCTGGGCTCCTGACAGGCAGTCTTTGGGCCCTCTTTGGCCGTCTCGGGGCCCTCTTGGGCTGCCTTGGAGCTCTCCAGGGGCCCTCGCGGCCGCCTGGGGAGCCTCCTGGGGCCGTGGCGGTCCGGGTATCCTCTGAGGCCGTCTTGGGTCCTTCCGGAGGCCCTTCAGGGCTAGCTTGAGACGTTCCGAAGTCCATCCTGGGCTGTCCAGGAACCATCTTGAGCTGCGTTGAGGCCGGCTTTGAGGCCTCTTCGGCCATCTTGAGGCCCTCCTGGGCCGTCTTGGGGCCATCTGGGAGGCCCCTTGGGCCGTCTTGAACCGACGGAAGCTCGAGAAGATGAGAATGCAAACATTTCTCAACATCAACAACAACAACAACAACAACAACAACAACAACAACAACTACAACAACAACAACAACAACAACAACAATCCTGAGGCACATCAATGAGTTTGGCCTCTTCGGGCCTTGCTGGAGGCTCTCTTGGAGCCGTATTGGGCCGTCTGAAAGGCTTGTTTGTCGGGGGTGGACAGAACCCCCACCTTGACACGTCGATTGTGAGTTGTCTGTTTTCGGTTCTCGAGAGGGCGCCGTGGCCGTCATTGTCCAGGCTTGCGCCTGCCAGGTTTGGGACCGAGGTCGTTTTCATTAAGCCACGTTTTACTAAAGGGGGTTCTGTCCATCCCCGATTTTGGTCCAACATGGAGGCCTCTTGGCCCACGTTGGCGTCCCTGGTGGTCTGCCGTGGCCGTATGAGAAGCCATCTTGAGTGTCTCCGACGCCCTGGGAGAGAGCCAGGGACGTGCCTTGTCGCCGGCAGAGCACAGGGGGGGGCGGCGCACGCAGGGAAATGCGACGAGCGAGGGGGGGGCTTTCGACGTCAGGGGAACGAAGAATGACCTAAACATACAAACTCGGAGGTCCGCGCGGGTTTCTCGGATCCTCTCCCCCTGGCGGCGCCTCCGGCGCCGCTCTTGGCGCGCTCTGCGCGCCAGCGAGGGGGGTCCAGCGCCGATCCGAGAAATCCGCGCGGACCTCCTAGTTTTTATGTGTACGTCATTCTTCGTTGCCTTATAGACGATTACAGAAACCCTGCCAGACAGCACGTGGCATTCCAGCACGCTTCAACGCGCCAATGGGCACGGTGGCGGATCCTGCGGCTACTCCAAAGCTCTCGACTGAGCTCTCGGATGACATGTAGCCATATCAGTGGTACATCAATGCTGCTACGAATGACCGCGAAAAAGACACCTCATCCTATCTACGAGTATTCCAAATGTGTTACAGGTCATGGCTATTGGAGATGGGATCAAAAGGAGAGCGGGCAGGGAACAGCGCATGGCTACAGGGCATGGCGGATCGAGCGTCCACCATGGTGATGGAAGGGGCCCCCACGCAGTGGCAGGTGGGACTCCGACCGGATATCCCGAACAGTCACTATGTTTGGTAGATACCCGACGAAGGCTTGGTTTCCATTGCATATTTCTCTTTGTGGAGCCATGCAAGATCCCAGTGCAGTCCTTCATCACTATGAATTCATGTTGTCCCCTCCTATGTGACCTTTTTTTCCCCTACCCTCTTGCTCAATGCATTTGCCAGTTTGTGCCCTAGCGCTCTCATGCCTCGGACCCCTCCCTTGAAGGGTCCGCCTCCAAGGGGTCGGGTGGAACGGAATAGCATGAGAGCATGATGTGGCGACGATGTGGTTGCAACCAGTCGGAGGGGCAAGACGGCAAGTGAGTGAGAAAGTATTTCCAGGATCTACAAGTCAATGTCGAACGCAGGACATTCCTACCTTTACATCCCCCTCATCTGCCCACACATTCCTGGATCTGGAAGAGGTGGGAACACATCTGCCGTGGACGCAGGACCTTGTGGCCAGACCATATCACTGCGAACAAGGCATGGCCTGCACAAAACCGCGGTTTGTCATATATACACACCACTGATCCTGTGGCAGCGCTGCGAGCGTACTCACATTCCAAACAGCTCGACGCTCAAAGTAAATGAATTCCATAACACCCGTCGGGACGTCTAGTCTTGCAATGATATTGTTTGAGATTTGGCTACCGGCTGTCAGGAGAAGCCTCACTGGCATCTTCACTATTGATGCACATGCAGGTCAGTGAAGCCAGAACAGATGCGCGCTTTTTGAAACAGGGTGCGGCGCGTCCAGATCGAAGAGACCTCCCCTGTTCAGAGATGGGGCACTGAGGAGTGGGGCCCTGAGGACAGAAACAGGATGCCAAGTGTTTGAGGCCACTCGTCCTGAGGTTCGGCAGCGCGCCCAGGGGGGAAGGCAGGATGGGGGCGGGCCTCCTCCGCGGGCTCGGGAGGCATCCGGCCCTCCGTCGAGCGCTCTGAGCATTCTCCGAAGCTGCAGGTCTCAAGACCGCAGGAGGAGGAGGAGGAGGAGGAGGAGGAGGAGGAGGAGGAGGAGGAGGAGGAGGAGGGGGAGGGGGAGGGGGAGGGAGGGGGAGGAGGAGGAGGAGGAGGAGGAGGAGGAGGGAGGAGGAGGAGGAGGAGGAGGAGGAGGAGGAGGAGGAGGAGGGAGGAGGAGGAGGAGGAGGAGGGGGAAGGGCCCCCGCCGCCCTCCGAGAGAGGGCCTGCCCCCAGCTCGCTTTTCGCCCCCTCGGCGCGCAGGGCCCCGCCTCTTGGAGCCGCCGGGCTTGGGCCGAGGGCGGCTGCCTCCCGGAGGCTCGACTGCAGTTCGGGGGAAAACAAACCTACCTCGCTTTTGACCACCCTCGCTTCCAAGAGATACCAAACGATGCCAAATTGCGGCCTGTACTGGTCAGGCCGCTTGAGGAGGAGGCGCGTGGTATGGCTTGGTGTTGCCTGGAAGCGAACGCGGGGGAGGTAATTCACGCTCTGAGCAGTGGGGGCCCATGCCAAGAAGCACCCTGCCTGCCTCCAGGGTGCCCTGGGTTTCTTGGGTGTCGAGGGCTCGGGCGACGGAGAGCGTGACGCTCCCGCACCGGAAGTCGCCGGACGTCCTGGGGTCTCAGGGTTGGGTTTCTCGTGGAGGCTTTCTTGTGAACTGGCCTCCGCTGTACACCCGAGAGTGACCCTTCGCTGGAGTGACCTCATGGTGCGGGCCCACAGGGGCCCCCCGATCGCCCAGCGCAGTGCGATGCGCTGCAGCGTCCTGCGCGCCCGTGTTTGCCCCCCCCACCCCCCTGACCTTCCAGGAGGGCTGAAAAATAGCACGCGACGTAAAAAACCTATCCCAGAGCTATTCTACGTCTTGGTTTTAGGCTGTTTCGTTTCGTTTTTTAGGTTTTTAGGTCTCCAGTGCTAAAAAATAGCTCTCTGGAAGGTCAGGGCCCCACCCCCCCCGCGGCACCCAAAAACGCCGGCGCACCGGAGGCCACTCCTTGC